TGGAAGGCCGCTTTCCCTGCCAAGCCACACCGTCCATCACGCTGATTCATTTTCTTCCTCTCAGTTGCTGCCTTCTGAAAGCATCTTACCCGCCATCACCCTGTCTTTATGGTCTGTCTGCTTAACTGCGTGATGCCTCTCGCGAGATGGCATCTTGTCTGTTCCCCTCCCACTGTGCTCACAGCCCCAGACAGTGCGTGCACACAGTAGGTGCTTCACGAGCCTGTGTGGACACTGCTGGGTGACTTCCTCGGCTCTGGCCAGGCAGTCTCGCCTCTCTCTGACCTGCCCCCTCCCTTCCCACGGTCCCTGCTGGCCCATCTGCCTGTCACGACACTCACCCATGCTCACGAAGTGCCTTGGTCTTGCAAAGAGTAGAAATGCACACGTTTTTGGAAAGAGCGAAGAGTAACACGAGGACAGGACACCATGCTTGATGCCCATGGACGCCCTGGACATGATCAGATGAGAACACCCCTCAGATGTCTCACATCTCCCAGAAGGAACTGGGGTGCTCTGTGCGGCCCCGGCAGAAAGCCCATGCCCCGGCCCCACCGGGCTCCCGGGACGGCGGCCAGGAGCCTGAGGCCATAGCGCCTGGGGCCTTCCCTCCGCAGAGCGGAGGCCTCAGGGCTCTTCTCCCTGACTGCCCGATGCCGCCGGGAAAACGGTGGAAAACCTTGGGTTTCCCGATGCTGTTTCCCGCCACCTGAGGACAGCGGTTTAATCCGCGGGTGCCGCCAGGACACGTGACCACCCCTGCCAGGAATTCTGACATTGCTTTTCTCAGCGAGCCCCCTGGTAAGCGTGATGCCTCTACCTGGGTCCTCGCTGAGACACTGCCGCTCACCTCGCCCTCCCGTGGCCCCATCTCCAGCTTCCTTAAGAAAACTGTCTTCAGAATGCGGGTCAGGGAGACAGACCCTCTCAGATCTGTCGGGTCCTCAGGTGCACTGTCGGCCACGGCCACCCCTTAGCCACACCTGCTTCTTCACTGGTGACTGGAACAGAGGTGGGGAGAGACAGCCTAGAACTTGGGGTTCCGGGGCCAGCTGGTCCATGAATGGGAAGCTCCTGGTGTGTGTGAAACCCGGTGTTTGGAAATCTGCCCTGACTGTCCCAAGGCTGGCTCTTCAGACCCCCCGGGGCCCCCACTCCCAGCCCAACACCTCCAGGACCAGGGATCCCCTCTCTCCCAGCCTGTGGAGGGTCTGGACAGAGGAACGTGGCCATCCCCCCAGCAGTCACGGAGAAAACGCATCCCACAGGAGCCGTGGCGTGGGAGGCGGTGCCGTCGGAGGAGCTCCTGAGTTGGCCTGTGGAGAGCTGGGCTTTTTTCCCACTTTCTGGACCCCAGGCCAGGGGCTATAACTTCCAGATGCAGTGCCCACATGTCTATTAGCCCGTGTCACACTCTGCAAACACAGCAGGCAGCAGAAGGGACCAGGGCCGCCCCTGAGTCCCTGGGACGCTGCTGGTGGCCGGTCTTACTTTCTGATACCTGAAGTTATCGGGCTGATGCCTCCAATAAACCACACAAAACCAAATGAACCAAAGCCAGGAGGACACAGAGGGCCTTGGGGACCGAGCAGGAGGCTATCAAGAAAGGAAACCGCCTCATCTTGCTCTTGGTGGCCAGGTGAAAGCCATCTGGAGAGGGGCGCTGCTGTCCCCCCATCTTTAGTCACGGAGGGGAGCAGGTTAGGACACTGAGGACCCTGCCTTGTGTAATTGCTGCCTCGAAGCCTTGTTCTCTGTGTTTATTCATGTATTTTGAGGATTTTATGATGTGCTTGTGCTCAGGGCCTTGGGTGCCTAGCCAGGAACGTGTGAGTGCTGAAGAGACCACTTCCTGTGGCTGGTCTCCAGGCTGAAGATCTAGAAACGGGGAGATGAATTCCAGAAACATGGCAGTGAGAAGACAGGCTGAAGAAATTCCGAATGGAGAAGACATCTGCCTTACTGTTTCCCCTGACTCTGCAAGGATATACACACCGAAACACCCCAGTCCTGCAGGCTTTGAGAGCGCCTTGCACTGCGCTCTCTGTAGAGCTCCTCGAGCAGGCTGTTCGCGCCTGCAGACGCACATGCGTTGTATTTTCTTTTCCTCGTAACATGAACGAAGCATGGAAGATGAGAAACTGGAAAAGAAACCAAGGATTCTGGAAGGAAGCACAGCCTTCAGGGGCTGAGGATACAAACAACCAAAGGTGCTCAGAAACAGAGGTTCATCAGAGACACATCCACGGGGGTGCCGGGAGGAACCCCACGGCGGGAGATGACAGCCCTTTCCTCTGCTCTGCCTGCATCTTCTGAAGGGCAGGGTCCCCACCCAAGGGGCTGGGGGATGGTCACAGCCCATGCAGGGCTGCTCAGATGGTAGGATGTCCAGGAAAGGCTGGGATCGGGGTCAAGTGAGCCTGGATCCAGGGCCCTTCTCTGGGAAGGCGGTTTTGGCCCTTGGCTGCAGTTTTTATTCAGTGCTGACAAAACGTTTCCAAGCAGCCACCCAGGTGTTTGCAAACATCTATGACATTTCCAAAGACTTGGGCTAGATCTGGGGAGGCGCTGAGGGGGCTGGTGGAGGAGCGGGGGTGCTGGATGTCCCCTGGGTAAGCCTGAGCAGTGTTTAAGTCTCAAAATGAGGGACAGCAGGCGAGTGCATTCCAGTCCCTGGTTCTTCATTCTCCTAGGAAGAGATTAGTGGGGTGCCGGGACCCCTAGAAGGGGAGGAAAGTGGTTGCAAACTCCTCAGTTGGAAGGAAGTAAAAACATCCCCCAAATTCTCTGCAGGTGAGCCTGGGACAGCACATGAGGGCGCTTTCGAAAGACTAAGGAAACCCCTGAGGCCATCAGTGCCCCCGAGAGGCCTCTCAAAACAGGCTAAATCCACCGACACCTGCCCAGGGAGGGGGTGACGGGGCCTGTTTGCAGGCCTGCAATCTGACACCGGATCGTCCGAGTTCCAGCCCGGTGCCCTCGCCAGACAGCTGCCCGCGCACGGAAGCCTCCCAGGAAGGGTTCTCAGCTCTATCCATTTCGCTTAAAGTGATATTTGAATTCAACGTAAGGAAAAATGATTGTGGGCTGGACACAATTTAAATCCCAAAGTGCTGCCTTCCTAATGTTAAAGAAACACCATCCGTTATACCCTAGGCCTTCCCTTAGAAGATGTTTTATTTTCTGGTGAGGCGTAAAGGTCTGTGAGGTCAGCAGTGATACCGAGGGAAATTGCCCCTCGCTGCCCTCTTCATCCTCTCCCCTTCTGCTAAGTGGAGACCAGGCTGCAGGCCCTCGGTCCTGAAGGACACAGGTCCCCGCCCGACTGCTGTGCTGCAGCCCTGGGGAAAGCCAGGAGGCAGACAAATTAACCAGGCCACCGCACCTGCAGGGTCCAGTCTCGCCAGGGGGTGATGTCCTCGCCCACTGCTGATACCGCCTGTTGGCCCTCTGGGAAGGGACCGACCACCCCTCCAAGGGACAGAGCCCTTTCGTTGTCTGCATAGAGAGCATCTGAACAGACCCTAGTCAAAGGACCTTTCTTGAGGTGTTGTTAACTGGGTTTCCCAAAACTCTCGTCCCGGAGGACCTCAGTGAGTGGAGGTCATTTCCACCTAGACCTCCAGCCATTCCAGAAATCAGCCCACTGGGCCTTTTCCCTCTCTCCATCCTTCTGGGTTCCTTCATTAAAGTGGGTTCCCTTAAAAACGGCTCAGAACTGCTTCCAGCCATCAGCTGGCTCCCGACCTGCAGGCCTGATGGAGAATGGGCAGCGCGGGCCGGACCGCTCTGTCGGCCCACCTTGGGTGGGGCATCGCAAGGCTGCGAGGGCAGAGGAAACAGCCCGCCCAGCCGTGGGGGCTCGCAGCAGCTGCGCAGCCCCCGCGCCCCTCTGACGCGGGGGGGGGCAGGTTACACAGGTGCTGACCAGGCTACCTGTGTTTACGTACCTAACTTACTAGACAACTGAGATTCGTACAGAGCACGAGTGATCAAAGGTGGTCTGCCCAGGTCCTCGACGTGCGCAGTGCCGTGCTCTCGGAGGGTCCCTGGTGGTTGGCGGCTCCTCTCTAGGACGGGGGAGCTGGCTTGCGGTCACCTGCACCCCGCATGGCCCTGTTCTGCTGAGGGCTCCGGAGCCCCACCTGATACTCCCCTAACAGTCTCCTAGGCCGACGGAAACTGCATGAGACCAGGACCTTGATAATGGGGACCCTCCAAAAAGAACGCAGCCGCAGCTGCGCTGCACTTCTGC